TACTACACACACACACACACACACACACACACACACACACACACACACACACTGCATCTTCTTTAACCATTCATCTGTCAGTGGACACTGAGGTTGCATCCATGTCTTGGCTGTTGTATATAGTGCTGCTATGAACATTGGGATGCATGTCTCTTTTCAAGTTATAGTTTCATCTGGATATATGCCCAGGAGTGGGATTGCTGGATCATGTGATAACTCTGTTTTTAGTTTTTAATGATCATCCATATTGTTCTCTATAGTGGCTGCACCAATTTACATTCCCACCAACAGAGTAGGAGGGTTCCTTTTCCTCCACACCCTCTCCAGCATTCATTATTTATAGACTTTCTGGTGGTGTCCATTCTAACTTGTGTGAGGTGATACCTCATTGTAGTTTTGATTTGCATTTCTCTAATAGTTAGCGATGTTGAGCATCTTTTCATGCTCTTGTTGTGGCAATTTGTATGTTTTCTTTGGAGAAATGTCTACTAAGAATTCTGTCCATTTTTTGATTGGGTTGTTTGTTTTCTTATATTAAGCTGTATGAGCTGTATGTATATTTTGGAAATTAATCCCTTGTTGGACTTATCATTTGCAAATATTTTCTCCAATTATGTAGGTTGTCTTTTTATTCTGTTTATGATTTCCTTTGCTGTACAAAATCTTCAATAAGTGGTGCTGGGAAAACCAGACACTACATGTAAAAGAATGAAATTAGAACATTCTCTAACACCAAATACAAAAATAAGCTCAAAATGGCTTAAAGACCTAAATGTAAGACTGGGTACTCCAAAACTCCTAGAGGAAAACATAGGCAGAACACTCTTTGACATAAATTGGAGCAATATTTTTTTAAAAAAATCCAGCTCCTAGAGTAATGGAAATAAAGGAAAAATAAGCAAATGGAATCTGATTAAACTTAAAGGCTTTTTAACAGCAATGGAGTTTCTTTTTGAGGTAAAGGAAATGTTCTAAAATTGATTGTGGTGATATTTGTAAAACTCTGTAAATATACTAAAAATATTGACTTATTTAGTATTATAACTATATTGCAGTTAGACTACATGCACACACACACACACACACACAGCTGAAGACTCCAACAACAATTTCTTCTTTCAGTCCCAAATGTTCAACTTACAAGAGCATCACCTTGATTAAGTTACTTAACTTTCTATGCCTCATGTACATTGTCTGTTATAAAAATAGTATTTATTTTATAGGATTATTGTGGACATTTAAATGATTTATATATATACATAAAGAACTTACAATGCCTGGCACACAAATATATGTTTGTTCCTGCGGCTGCTGTTACTATTTTACCACCATTACAAGTAGTGCAGTAATACTGATTATAACTATTGTAAGTCCAATCTTACTCATTTAACACATGAAAATTTTATCTGACCTTCTCCTGTTAATTCAGCTACTGCATGTGTTAATTAAATTGTAGCTACATTTCTACCAAAAGCCTATCAATAATTTTTTAATCAGTTACATAAGAAAGTCTTGTTCTAGGATGTAGACCCGTATTTCTTTGTGAAAAGATTAACATCTTATTTGATATAAAGTGGGAAGTTGTATTTTTTTTCCCACTAAGGCAATGAAAATGTTATGTGCACACCCTGCTCAATTAAAGCCAACCTATTGAGCTGGATAATGGCTCTCATTGTACACCAGCTCACTATATATTTCCAAGTAGGATGGCGGAGTTAGAATATCAGCTTTACGGCAAGGATATGGGATAATAACACACCACTAAGAGACTGACTATAACCACTTAAATTTTTTCACATAAAAGACTCAGGATATGGTGCCTCCAAAGGGAAAATGCAAAATCTTTAACTATTATAGCTTCTACTCTCTTTTTTATCTTCACATCTCCCTAAGTCTTGATTTAGGCTAAATGCATCATTAATCTTTAACATATCCACCTAAGAACACAATTAAAGTCAAACAGAATAATGAGTGGCATTATAAGGAATACAAAGGAGCACACTCAAGAATGGATTCAACTGTTCCATATGCTGCAGAATTATGCACACCCGCTAACTTGCACAGTGCCAGATCTAGAAAGAAATCAACTCTGTTGAATAAGAATCAGAATATTTGAATTAGTCAGTTCATCTGGGAGCAAAGCCAAGAACCAGAAGGTTAGCTTGTAATATTAAATCTTTTCAGGCATGAACTATACCGTCAAACTTTAGACTCATGTTTTATATCTTCAGGTCTTAAACATGGCTTTAGTTACAGATATGCTGTTTATTCGTTGGGTAATACTGAGTGAAATCTTAATCTCTAAGCATCTCACTTACCCAAACTGTCACTTATAGGAGATGGATTATATCACCCATTCTCAGTCTTCAATCTATATCAGAATCACCATGAGCAAATCCTGAGATCCACATGCAGAGATGTGCTTCCAACTGGTTATTTCCATGTGCAGCTGGAGTTGGGAAACTGCAGGACGAAATAATCCCTCAGGTCTCTCTCAGTCCTACAAGCCTAAAGTTTTCTGTCCGAGTGGATATCCTGATTCAGTTTTCAGTAGTAACATAGCATTAACTCACAGAAGAGTAAGATTAAGTGATTACTTTGAAAAAAGAAAATAATGGCACTAATTTGATTTCATTTACACAAGGAAGTCAAAGAAAAATATTTGTCTTATTTTACCTTAACAAAAGGAAAAGGATGCAACAGAGAGGAAAAACAAAACAAAACCACAACGAAACAAAAGGAAAACATAAAGCTACCATCTATATGTTATCCTTCCTATTGGGTAAACCAAGGTAAAAAACCTATAGCAGAAACAGCAATACTGCTTTGAAATGTTATGCTTTTCTCTGTCTTTCTTTCAGACTATCCACATGTGTCCTCATGTATTTGAACAATTGCTTTTGAAACAGTTTGATATATTCAAAACAGAATACAGAACTTGGAAAATAGTTTATATGTCACCTTTTTATTGAAGT